ATGCGAACCCCATGTCTGCATATAAAATGACACGATATTCTTGTCGAATAATTTAATAATGTGGTGTACGCATAATTACAATGGTAAACTTGAAGTTGATAATATGGAGTAATATACAGATAAAAACACATTTTCTCAGAATAATATATGTGTCCATAAAACCTTTTACCCTGTCACATGATCACATTACCATTGTCGGTGAACATCGAAATCTGTCAATTCCTTCTTTGGTATACAATTGTTTTAGTTCACATCACAAGGAACATGTGTACTTAGCTTCAAGGTTGCCACGACTCCATTGTAAAATACATTAAACATCAGATTTTAACTTGATCAGTAAACAGCGAAATGTGGGTCAATAGTTCATACCATAATGAAATATAATTAACGGAATATTGACCTTTCATTTTGATATAAATAGCGGCCGGATACAGGGGGTGTGGGGGCATCCTCATAGGTCATAAAATTCAACTTGTGTTTCAATACGTTTTTCTCATTCTTGGCTGCCGATCCGCTTGTTATCGATTGGACCCTCCTCTCAAGTTTTTTGACAGTCCTTGACACTCGATGGACATTTATTGAAATTCGAACTCAAATAAAATTACTCGAATTCTTACTCGAACTCTATAAGGATCGAAATTGAACTGCAACTTATCACGCAACTCGAACAGTTACACTCACGTAAACTAGAACTTTGGGTCGAACTTTAACTCGATAGTTAGCCACACTATAATTCATATGGTATTGTCGGTTTTCTTACTGATATTTGTGGGTTTTCTTGGTTTCTGTTTCGCATTGATGCTGCAGTTCTGTGTCATTGTAAGATTACACTTTTATTTAATTCTCAAGTTGGTTTTTTATGCAGAAAATACGTGTTCCCATGGTATATATATTAATTAAGTATGTCGGGATTTCTTTTGAATTATTGATTAAAAAAGAAATTATTAATTCTACATAAGGAAATGCCTGTACCAAGTCAGGAATATGACAGTTGTTTTCCATTCGTTTGGTGCGTTTGAGCTTTTGATTTTGACCTTTGATAAGGGACTTTCCTTTTTGAAGTTTCTGTATATTTGTTATTTTACTTTTTTGAAGAAGATCTAGTCAGGATCTGAGAGACAGAAATCCAACGATATTTATACCCAAACAAACATCCAGAGGGCAACATGAACCTACAAAACAGACAAGAGTCTATACATTAGATAGATATAGATATTTTTATTCACCAATGAAATGAAGGGATATTTTCAAACCATCAAAACGACGAAAAATTACAAATAGTAGGCAACATACAGTGTTCAATAATAGACAGATGGTTCACTCAATGTAAAGCTCCAAATCGTTCCGGATTTATATAAAAATTGTAAATAGCTTTAACAAAGACTGTCATATGAAGTACAACGAAATCAGAGATCAATATTGTAATTAGATTGAGGTCAGACGTCGTTCGGGTCAAGTAGGGTCACCTTCACTGTGCAGTATATATATACAGCTAGGTAACATACTCCGACTTGATTGTTCAATAGGTATTACATATTGCTGATTTGCTACATAAATGTATTGTAAAGGATATGACGAAAAAATGAATGAATGTTGTATTAAAACTCACCTACTTTTGTTTTCGTGTTGTCATTCTTCATTGGTTCGTCTTTCATCCGAAACTCATTTCCAGGAACCTCGTTGGAATATTCCATCTTACCGCCGGTTAGTTTTGTGCCGTCGTCACGTGTACATGTGGTCGAAATTGTGAGTCCAAGACGATAAACTTCCTTCTTATTTGCCTGGTTCTCAATGTCTAATCGATCGACGTGTTTCCGAAAGGAACTAGTCTCTATTTTCAGTGACTGTTTTTTAATTTCTAGTCGACCAACATCTTTCCGAATAGCCTGATTTGCATCACGGAGGCTTATTATTTGCCATTCCTGTTGTTTAAGTGTGTTACGTATTTCTGAGAATTCGTTTTGCATATCAACTGCTGCTATAAAGCCAGGCAGTAAAAATATTACTCAAAAGATTTCTCCATTTTGTCGACAGAATTACGAGATAACAAACTGCACTACTTTTGTGAAAATTCAAGACGAATAAACTTGTAAACTATTATTCAATTTGCGCAACTATTTTTCATGTTTAATGCATCTTCAGGTGCAGATCAAAGATGTTGATAAAAGGGGTATGCTGGCAAGCCAGCGTTTAGAATGATACTTAGTCAAAAGCTTATGCATTTATCATGAACCTCCAGAAAGGGATGTCGGTCCCCCTGCTCCTACCCTTAATCTGCATTTAAGCATCATAAACTAACATTTGTGTCGATAAGTGATACACGGAAACATTTTGCAGTGAGCAGAATTAAACACATGTTAAAGAAAAATAATAACTAATTTTCTTTGATACGGGGTAATATTTTTTGTTATCTAATGAAACCCAACCATCTCCGTTAATCTATCATTTTTTATATATCAGTGTTTATCATCTACTACTCATTTCACTAATTATCTTACGAGCAAAATAACTCCTAAGTCGTGATCATTTCAATACAACTTACAATCACTTTTTGTCGTAAGAATTTTGTGAAAAGAGCTCCTGGTTCCTGCCTCTTTCACATTTAGTTTGCTTAGTTATTCCATCAGAGGAGGTGAGTAACCACCCTCTCCCGCCCCTTCACAGCCTTGCCATTCAGGATAGCAAATAGACATCCACTAACGACGCATACACATAATCTGATAACACTCAGTTATTCATTTTACCACAGTCACTGAGTGTATTCGTTACTTGCAGATGCGGATCCAGTGTACGCATGATGTTAGAACGGCCAAAGCGCTTATCAATTTCGTGGACTGAAGCGATGCGAAATGTTTGCTATTGTGTTCTATGCCAGAAACAACTATACCAACGTTTGATATTAAAGTAGGGTGCGCGACGGGTGCTCCCTATACAGGTAAAATAAATAACCCGTTATCGTCTTAGTGCATATCAATTAAAATGTTGCAGATTACACGGTTTTAACGGATAACAGGTTTAATATTTGACCCATAGATATCAAAGGCCACCAATGGGTCTTCAACACAGCATGAAAATCCCGCACCTGGATTTTATATACCGGATGAAGGGTTGGAATTCATTTGAACTCTGTTGAAAATTGTGGAAAGACGAAATGTCGCTTTGAAACGGACCAAAGGCAGAACTAACAAAGCTTGTTGTTACGTATATGTCGCAAGGAGATAGTTCAACGATGCATGGGATATAATATCTCCATTCTTAGCGAACATGGATACGTATTTACCCATCCTTTATATTATGTTCACCCTCAAACTGATACACGAAAAAAGATTTAACATGTTTCGATACTGTGGTTCCACAACGAGGTCTTAATCTTACATTCGAATAATTAAAAAAACAAGAACATATATTGTTATATAGACAAGGCAACACTTTATGTGAGTCTCGCCTCTCTGTTTTATAAAACATACAATTGTTGACATAACATAAACAGAAAACATACAGGAGCCACTAATAAAAGAGTAAAGTGAGACTATCGTAAAATGTATACAATTTATCTTCAATATATTTGAATTGATTATATAAAGTACACCTTCTGTTCACTAATTTAAATGATAATGGCAGCATGAAACATGTAAAATCATATAATTTCCCTATCGCTTGTGGTAAAGTATTTGGCATAAACCCGTGGTTAAATCAATATAAATCAAACCCCGGGGTTTTTCTCTTGAATATTTCCAAAAAGCTGCAGTTGAAATTATATTTCAGAATATTTCTTCAATTTGGAACTTATATCATAAAAAAACATTTCTATTGCTTGACATTTGTAAGTTACTGGAATTAACAAACTACGTGTCACATACAGTATATAACGACATTTTTGTTTATTTATTGCTAGACTATCTCCTCTTTGTATGTTTAAAAATAAACTTTTATTTTGTTAAATTGTTGGTTTTGTCGCCTACGGACCTCTATTCTATAACTTTTATAAATTGGGTCATAAAACTTAATTTTATCCAATCCAAAGAATTCAATAGTAACCCTACTATTAAAATCCTTGTCTAAACTAAATCAAATCTAAAAATAAGTTATTAATATTGTCTTCTGCAACAAAAGATAATAAATTGACAAAGTAAAAAATATATAAGTTCAGTAGGAAATATTTAATCATTTGTACTCCGAGATGCAGACATATGAGACATGGTCGATCGGAAGGCAACCATTTTGATTTGATGAAGCCAAAACGTCACTGAAACTAACTATAACTGTTTCAACAGTAAAGAAGAGGCTCCAAAGAGCCCGTGTCATTGATCTTGGTTTATGCAGATCTCCAACAATGGTTACTACCTAACATTATAGACTAGAATACAATTCATGAAAGAAATCTGTTTTTGTTATTTCTGGTCATTTTTGTCTATTTACAGTTTCTCTCTATCATCTTTAGTTTTTGCCCAAAACACAAAAGAGAGTAAACATTATCATTTAAGGGAAATCACTAATATAAAGAGTCTACTAACTGTTACATCAAAATTTGACTTATTTGTAGATTTTGTCTTGCTGATTTTTTGCTATAAAGTTGTATCTATCTATTAAATTTTTCAAGATAATAGGCAAAACCACTAAGAATAGGTGAAAATCGTCAACAACGAGCAAAAACCCTAATAATGAGTCGACTGATGATTTCAGCATTGTTTGACTTATTTGAAGTGGCTGTCTTGTTGTTTATTTTTTATTTTTATTTTGTCTGTTTATCTATTATAGTTTTCATAATAATAGGCAAAAATACTAAAAACAGGTCAAAATCGTCATTACAGAGCATAGCATCCGAAAAGTTGTCTGACGATTTCGGTCATGTAGCCTTATTTGTAGATCGTTCTTCTCTTGCTGATAACTTTTGCCATATAAAGTCTCTCTACAGTGATCAAAAACTGGAAAGGACTTATTATCAGAATTAAATGAAGGTCTTTCCCTGGAAAGGAAAAAAAACATACAAAAAATATTCAAAAAATATAACAGATGTTTATGACAAAATGCAATAGCACACTACTCATGGTTTATTTCTTCGGGTCCTGTTGTAGAACATTAAAATATTACATGAAAAAAACATCAGTTTTCCTTTCAGTATTAACAGTTTTGGGTGTTTATCATTTTTATCAATTACACAAATATTCAAATAATTTCGTGTATATATGCTTTATCATTTACCAGAATATGTTTCAATTTAACTTTAACGGGCTAATACTTCAAATACTATACACAAATCTTCGGGTATTCATGAGCCACCTCCTTTGTTTTTTATTTTTATTTAATAAGATTTTTATTGAATTTTCTTTAATATTTGAAGTTCTTATTCCTTACTTAATGTATGTTTGCTTTATTCAATTAAATTTTCAATAATTGTCGTTTACAAGTACCGTCCCTCTACTCATAATGTAATTGACAGCACGTGTAAACGACAGTTATTGTATAGGAAAATAAGTTGAAATATATACGAATTTTTAAGGAGGAAATCTTTAACACAAAAAGGAAGATCTCTAAGTGCCCGTGATATTATATTACGCAAATCTCTCGAAACCTGAAACCAATTTAAGAATTAATTTATAGAAAATTGTTTTAGAAAAAATAATTAAAAAAATAATAAAACACAACAAATTACAATACATAACATAAAATGAGGCAAATTGATTTCATTCCATTAACATGATTAAGATACACTGTAATAACTAATCCAACCGTAGTCATGTTTGTATTGAAATTTATCATCGAACTTTAAAAATGTATGTGCAAACTCACTCAAAATGTTACTAATTTGTCTTGAATACTGATATTGTCGTTCCATTTCTATTTGCAATATAACATTTAGACAAGTCCTTATTAAAACAAAACGCTTGAGGAAAGGACAAACCATCTTTCAAACAGATTTCTACTAAAGTTCCGGTTGATGTAAGTTTATGAATATTGTGTGACAATTTACTCAAAACGTATATGTTTCCAGCATTATCCATATTTCGTGGGCAACGAAGATCAGGTAACGAATACGAGAAAACATGACATCCATCTAATGTAGTGCAATGGACTTCCTTCGTGTTCGAATAAGTAATGTTCCCATCTGAGAAAATGGAAATGTATCCACCGGTGTTCTGTCCAAACCCGTATTTTAGACGAACTGTTCTTAGAATATTTCCATTGAAGTCTAGGACCTGTATATTGTCTCCAGTACCTACAAATATAGCATCATTTGAAGCAGCAACACCATAACCTCCACTTTGTTTCACTTCTACCTTCTTTGATATCCTGCATCTTTTGGTATCTAGAAACTGTATGTACGGTTCATATCTACTTGACACAACAGCAGTGGTTGTTCCTGGTATTGTTGCTATATCCCATGGTTGATATTGAGAGCTGATAGATGATTGGTATGTATCGTTTTCATCACAAAAATATACCTTTTTTTGTAATCACATCACAGAAAATCAATGTGTTATTGTCTGATACCGTTATGCCAGTTACTCCTATTAACCTTTCTCCTTTCATGTCGATGTTGTAGAGATTGGTAAATGATATTATCTGGTGCTTCATAACAATTGGAACCTGTGACCGGCACTGCTTGTATGGGACAAATGAAAAGGAACAAGATGTTTCCTTTAATTCTATTGACCCGAGATCTGCTAATTTTTCCTTCGAGACGTTTTCGACGAACGTAATACTTGTGTCTGCAAACGATTCGGTAAGCTGTTGAACTTTGTTTTCAATTTCATCTAAGACTGGTTTGGATGAATGAATAGAAACGAACGCTTGTTTATCAGAACCATGATCTCTAACAAATTCCAACAATTCCTTTTTAGCTTTTGTGGAGTTTACTAAGCCCCTTATACATTCCTCCTGTCGTTTCAAACTGGTTACGTATTTGTCTTTCTTTTCAGTTAGCTGTTTTAAACGTGACTCTTCTAAAGCTTCCAACTGTTTGATAACATTTTCTTTCATTGTTTTTATTTGTTTCAAAATTTTGGTTTCTTCTTTCTTAATTCGACTTCCATTATCCTTGCAATTCTTGTTCAAGTTTTCTAATGCTTCTAAAAGAAAGTGCAACTGTTCTTCATAATCCAGGAAAGACTGCGATTGTTTGGAATTTTTTGACGCAATGTCAATGGCTGTGACGTTCTTGCATGTTTGATGATTTTTTGGCCAACATTCCTTACAACAAATAACATCATGATCAACACAAAAATAGTCAAAAGTAAATGTTGATGCTTTGAACAATTATACGATAAATTGATTTGTTCCAGTATGTTATCTACATGTACTAAATGGTGATTTTTTGACATTTTTTGAACTCTATGCGCCTCTGTACAATCGGAACATAGGGCTTCTTCGCATTCGGTACACCATTCGGATGCAGTTGGAGTCATACCACGCGCAGTACATGGTTCACAGTAATTGGCTGCTATATTTCTGTAATAAAAATAATTTCAAACTCTAAGATAGAACTTTCATATATACTTTTTTTTCTAAAAGGATTTATTATTAAGATAATATAATCACTACAGTTAGCGTCTTTCTTATCAAGTCATGCAAATCACACAAAAAAAATTTACAAATTGTAGGAAAATTTATCGTATATGGTCTATACTAGGTTAAAGTGTTGTGCATTTAGGAGAAAGAACAGCATTTGGTAGACTAGGCGTCTGAGTTTTACTTTGAGATTTGACTTTTTAAACCTTAAATCTTAAAATAATGGTTACAATGTAATGTGTAATTTTATTTTAGCGTTCGAATAGAGTGGTTTCTTTTATTAATTAAGATTAAAACGAAAATTTGTGCCGTTATTCTTTTTTTTTCTATATGGAATATGTAGGCCAATGAAGCTTTGTTGACTGGCTAGTTAATCGAGTTTATTGAACATATACAAAGACTATGAAAAATCGTGGATGGAGATAGTTTTACATGTACTTATTTTTTTCTACATTGTAAAAGTGTCAATTATAAAATCAATATAGATTTATTTCTCTATGAAGCAAGCTATACCTCTTTTCTACACCATTGAAGTCATGATAACTTTGATCAATGTTGTACCTAATTAACACAATCAGATTGAGACGAGTCAAAGAGAAGTGTAAATGAGCGTTCCAAAATACCCAAAAGGGTCCTGTGATAAATAGAATAAAAAATTTGCATTTGTGCCAGTTCGTCATGCCAATAACTCATATATGTAATCAAACTAATGATTTCTGCCATGCTGACTGATAACCAGATATCTAATTTTGCTATAAACGTTTTGTTTCATTATCTACTATGAAGTTGTCCGCATTAACAACAAAATAAATCGTTATTTAATGCAAAAAATGTCGATACGGAGTTGACCGACGATTTCGGTCATTTAACTTTATTAGTAGATCACGTCTTGCTGATCATTTTAGCTATATACAGTTTCTCTCTATCTAGTTTCTGAACAAAAAAAAACATACAGAAATGGTTAACAAGAGTGCACAAGCTGAAATGTCTCCTTATTTTACTTATCATTGAATTCATTTTGAAAGCCTATAATATGAAGGTTTTACTACAATTATCAAATACACTTAACATTAATCATTTTCTATGAAAAAATGGTCACGGTCAGATGATTCCTGCCAGACAGACACGTACACCTTACAATCCTTCTATACACCAAATATAGTGGTCCTATTACTAATATAACCTGAGAAACAGATCAAACCACCAAATCTTAACATTGACCAATGATCAATAAAAAAGAGGTCAAGGTGGTGTAAACCCTTATTATAAACAAGAGTTCCCTCAACCAACATTCATAGCTAAACTCAAGACTTTACACCGTTTTTCTTTTTTCTGATTGCCTAAGGTATGAATTCTTTTCAAATAACGGTGTTTCGGGATTTTTAGATTGGCTCACTCTATAAGTGGCCTACTTTGGGTCCCTTTTCAAAAGTCTCCCAACTAATGCCGGGTTTCGGCAAAATATTCTTTAAGATTTCTGCTGCGTTTATACTAGTACTCAATGATAGGCACTTGTTTAAATATTTTTCTGCATACCTCATCTGCCTGTAAATAATTCCAGGACTTTCTTAATGCTCTACCCAGCCCTTTAACTGCCTGGTTATATTTAGTTATAAGAGTCACAGGTATATCTTTCTTAGTGATCTATCTTGTTAATGTATTGCAACGTTTAACTTTGTTGCAAGTATCTGAAATCAGATCTCTAGTAATGCGTTTATTATATCCTCTGGCTACTAATTTTAGTTCAAGGTTAATTAGGTGCTTGTTCAAATCAATTTCATTATTATTATTTCTTATGTGCCGTATAGTTTCTCCCACAGTGATACTTTTAAAGGTACTCTGTGGATGAGAGCTATTAGGTGGTAAATATTGATAAGTTTCTGTCTTTTTAATGTGAGATTTGACATCCAAGATTCCATTTATATGAAATCTATCACCTTTATAAACCTTTAAATCTAAGTAGGTCATTAACTCTTCAGATACTTCATATGTCAATTTTAACAGATTGTCAATGCTAAAAAATTCCTCTATTTGTAACATATTACCAGTGAAGACAATAAAGCCGTCATCTCTATATTGACAGTGTAATTTAATGAGTGTTCTGTACTGGACTGGAATTTATCTAATATCATCTATAGAATAGAGGCCAGATGTAAATCTGTGCATGTAGGCGATAAAATACCTCCCATGGGAGCGCCTATTATCTGTTTCTAGATGTGTCCATTAAATTCAAATTCATTGTTTTCTAATACTATTTTAATCAGCTGAGCTTAATCTACTGAGTTGGGGATTTGAAAATCATATGATGGCTTGTCAATTATTTCTAAATTGTTGATTAATGTTTCTTGTAAATCTTTTATTTGCATGTTTGTATACATTGAAATAACATCATAGGCAATCAGAAAACATATGTTTTCTATCTTTTCTTTCTCTAATTTTACAATAAAATCTTTAGAGTCTTGAATGAAGTATGGATCTTTCCTCAATAAAGGATTAAAAATAAGTTCTTTGATTTTTTTTCAATTCTACAAGTTGGGGAATTGCTTTTGTTGATAATGGGTCTATATGCAACCTCAATATCTGAATGGCTAAAACCTTGTTTAATGATATTTGTAACTACCTCTGGGTTGATTTTGTGGATTTTAGGTAGAAAATACATTTGCCCATGTTTTGGGTTATATCTCCGTGTCAGAAAAGTATATGTTTTCACATCTATTTCTTTCTGAGAAAACAATTTCCTAACTATCTCTTCTATCTTTTTACTAATAGATGCAGTATTAAGTTGTTCAAGTTCTACGTAATATATGCTACGTAGGTGATTTTCTCCTGCTCTAGTATAGTCATTCTTATCTATTAATACTGTGGTATTATTTTTGTCTGCTTTAGAAATATAAATCTCAGAATTATTAGTAAGTTTCGCTAGCGATTTACGTTCTACCCTCGACAAATTGTCTTTAAATGAGTTCACCTCCAAGCTAGATATAGCCAACATTGTGTCTGTTATATAATTTTCAAGAGAATTGTTGCACCTAGGAGATACATGTCCTGTTTTCAAGTATAATGGATGGAGTTTTTTATTTTCTGATATGTCAGAATAACAAAATCTACATCTCATTTTCCTGGCTAATTCTATAAAATCTGCCATAATATTATTTCTGACGTGAAATATATTAGGACTCGGAACAAATTTAGTCCCGTGCTTAGTAGGATGATCTCTCCATTAGATAATTTTGTTCTAGTAAAATTAAGAATAAAATTCTTATTGAACTCAGCTCGAGTTCTCTTATTTCTTTGGGTTTTTGAATTAACCCTTCTCTTGCGATTTATTAATCTATAAGATTTTCTAAAGCGTCTGCTACCCATGCTGATAAAGAACATAACTGCCGAGAAGGAAACAATAAATACTGATAAATCTAAACTACACATGCGTGCGCATTAGGACAGCCCAATAGAAAAATAATAACATACTTCCGTAAAGATTAACTATCATTTAATCAATAAATCCTACACTACAAAGAAATAATAGAAACTCAAAAATCCATCAAGTGAAAAAGTTCACATATAAAGTCCGACTTTACTGTGGTTGTATGAAGTACTAAAATCTAAACTAAAAACTAGTTACGGTAAGTTTCCTTTCCAGGGAATATTTAAAGTTCACATATAAATCCTGGTTTTATTACACTAAAATTTTTTTTGGAACTTATCTTTTGGCTTAGCCACAGTTGGTTTCCTAGCCAGAGAGTCTTTATAGTTCTGGAGTTTTCTATTGTACTCCTCAATTAACTCCTTTGCCGCTTTAAATAATTCCCTCCTTTCGTCATACTTAGCTGACTTTTGCAGCTTTGTATCTGCTTCCTGCAGTATGTCATCTAGTTGTTTAGACACTTCCCGAATGCCTTTAGCAAGTGTTTCTGACAGTTGTGCTAAGGCAACAGTTTTTAAGTTCTGTTGTACATCTCGAACTTTATCTTTGATATGTTCTTTTGACGGATGCTCCATCAATCTAGGAATGAACTTCAAATCCACACTCATGTAGGGAGGCAGTATCTTTGAACCCTTGGCCAACCTCAGCCCTTTTTGGGTGGTGTTCAAGTTGTGCTTCACCCTCATAAGAGTCCTTAGCTCTTCAATGACTGGTTTCACTGTAGTGTCAGGCCCTTCCTGTGGAATCACTTGTATTCCCTCAGAGAACATAGGCCTGCGTATTTCTTGTTGAACCGACTGTGGCATATTGACATCACTAGTGGGTTAGTCTAAGTTTAAGCGGTTGAAATCCATTCTTTTCTTTTTATTCAGTTTCAATTTTAGCTTATCTCTGTCTGAAGGCATTAGAATGAATGAGGTTTGTTATTGTGTTGCCTTGTACACATGTGGTCTATATCTATTACCACTCTGGTCATAAAGTATTGCAATTCCATCAACTGGCTTGTGATTTATGGAATATGTGTTCCGTTCAGAAAAGATAAAATTATAAACGGTGACACTTTGTTTCGAGTATGTATGGATCATAGTGACAGAAAAAATATTTTTCCCACGTAGATACTCTAAAAGAATATTTTGCCGAAACCCGGCATTAGTTGGAAGACTTTTGAAAAGGGACCCAAGGTAGGCCACTTATAGAGTGAGCCAATCTCAAAATCCCGAAACAGCGTTATTTGAAAAGAATTCATACCTTAGGCAAACAGCAATGAAGAAAAACTGTGTAAAGTCTTGAGTTTAGCATGTATGTTGGTTGAGGGAACTCTTGTTTACAATGTTATGTTGTGGCGGTGCTACAAGGTTTTCCCTCCCGAGAGTATCTACATACTCGAGACAAAGTGTCACCGTTTATAATTCTATCTTTTCTGAACGGAACACAGATTCCATAAATCACAAGCCAGTTGATGGAATTGCCATACTTTATGACCAGAGTGGTAATAGATATAGACCACATGAGTACAAGGCAACACAATAACAAACCTCATTCATTCTAATGCCTTCAGACAGAGATAAGCTAAAATTGAAACTGAATAAAACGAAAAGAATGGATTTAAACTGCTTAAACTTAGACGAACCAACTAGTGATGTCAATATTCCACAGTCGGCTCAACAAGAAATACGCAGGCCTATGTTCTCCGAGGAAATACAAGTGATTCCACAGGAGGGGCCTGACACTACAGCGAAACCAGCCATTGAAGAGCTAAGGACTCTTATGGAGGTGAGGCACAACTTGAACACCATCCAAGAAGGGCTGATGTTTGCCAAGGGTTCAAAGATAGTGCCTCCCAACATGAGTGTGGATTTGAAGTTCACTCCTAGATTGATGGAGCATCCGTCAAAAGAACATATCATAGATAAAGTTCGAGATGTACAACAGAACTTAAAAACTGTTGCCTTAGCACAACTGTCAGAAACACTTGCTAAAGGCATTCGGGAAGTGTCTAAACAACTAGATGACATACTGCAGGAAGCAGATACAAAGCTGCAAAAGTCAGCTAAGTATGACGAAAGGAGGGAATTATTTAAAGCGGCACAGGAGTTAATTGAGGAGTACAATAGAAAACTCCAGAACTATAAAGACTCTCTGGCTAGGAAACCAACTGTGGCTAAGCCAAAAGATAAGTTAAAAAAAAGATTTTAGTGTGATAAATGCAGGTTTATATATATGTGAACTTTAAATATTCCCTGGAAAGGAAACTTACCGTAACTAGTTTTTAGTTTAGATTTTAGTACTTCATACAACAACAGTAAAGTCGGACTTTATATGTGAACTTTCTAACTTGATAGATTTTTGAGTTTCTATTATTTCTTTGTAGTGTAGGATCTGTTGATTAAATGATAGTTAATCTTTATGGAAGTATGTTATTATTTTCTATTGGGCTGTCCTAATGCGCACGCATGTGTAGTTTAGATTTATCAGTATTTATTGTTTCCTTTTCGACAGTTATGTTCTTTATCAGCATGGGTAGCAGACGGTTTAGAAAATCTTATAGATTAATAAATCTCAAGAGAAGGGTTAATTCAAAAACCCAAAGAAATAAGAGAACTTGAGCTGAGTTCAATAAGAATTTTATTCTAAATTTTACTAGAACAAAATTATCTAATGAAGAGATCCTCCTACTGAGCAAAGGAATTAATTTGTTCCGAGTCCTAATATATTTCACGTCAGAAATAATATTATGGCAGATTTTATAGAATTAGCCAGGAAAATGAGATGTAGGTTTTGTTATTCTGACACATCATAAAATACAGAAATCCATCCATTATACTTGAAAACAGGACATGTACCTCCTAGGTGTAACAATGCTCTTGAAAATTATATAACAGACACAATATTGGCTATATCTAGCTTGGAGGTGAGCTCATTTAAAGACAATTTGTCGAGAGTAGAACGCATATCGCTAGCGAAACTTACTAATAATTCTGAGATTTATATTTCTAAAGCAGACAAAAATCATACTACAGTATTAATAGATAAGAATGATACTAGAGCAGGAGAAAATCACTAACGTAGCATATATTACATAGAACTTGAACAAGCTTATACTGCATATATTAGTAAAAAGATAGAAGAGATAGTTAGGAAATTGTTTTCTCAGAAAGAAATAGATGTGAAAACATATACTTTGCTGACACGGAGATATAACCCAAAACATGGGCAAATGTATTTTCTACCTAAAATCCACAAAATCAACCCAGAGGTAGTTACAAATATCATTAAACAAGGTTTTAGCCATTCAGATATTGAGGTTGCATATAGACCCATTATCAACAAAAGCAATTCCCCAACTTGTAGAATTGAAAAATTCTTAGAACTAATTTTTAAGCCTTTATTGAGGAAAGATCCATTCTTCATTCAGACTCTAAAGATTTTATTATAAAATTAGAGAAAGAAAAAATAGAAAACAAATGTTTTCTGATTGCCTAATATGTTACTTCGATGTATACAAACATGCAAATAAAAGATTTGCAAGAAACATTAATCAACAATTTAGAAATAATTGACAAGCCATCATATGATTTTCAAATCCCCAATTCAGCAGATTTAGCTCAGCTGATCAAAATAGTATTAGAAAACAATAAATTTGAATTTAATGGACACATCTATAAACAGATAATAGGCGCTCCCATGGGAGGTATTTTATCGCCTATATGCACATATTTACATCTTTCCTCTATACTTAAGATGATATTAGATAAATTCCAGTACAGAACACTCATTAAATTACACTGTCAATATAGAGATGACGGCTTTATGGTCTTCACTGGTAATATGTTACAAATAGAGTAATTTTTTAGCATTGCAAATAAGATCGACAATCTGTTAAAATTTACATATGGAGTATCTGAAGAGTTAATGACCTACTTAGATTTAGAGGTTTATAAAGGTGATAGATTTCATATAAATGGAATCTTGGATGTCAAATCTCACATTAAAAAGACAGAAACTTATCAATATTTACCACCTAATAGCTCTCATCCACAGAGTACCTTTAAAAGTATCACTGTGGGAGAAACTATACGGCACATAAGAAATAATAATAATGAAATTGATTTGAACAAGCACCTAATTAACCTTGAACTAAAATTAGTAGCCAGAGGATATAATAAACGCATTACTAGAGATCTGATTTCAGATACTTGAAACAAAGTTAAACGTTGCAATACATTAATTAGAAAGACCACTAAGAAAGATATACCTTTGACTCTTATAACTAAATATAACTCGGCAGTTAAAGGGCTGGGTAGAGCATAAAGAAACCTGGAATTATTTACAGGCAGATGAGGTATGCAGTAAAATATTTAAACAAGTGCCTATCATTGCGTATAAACGCAGCAGAAATCTTAAAGAATATTTTGCCGAAACCCGGCATTAGTTGGGAGACTTTTGAAAAGGGACCCAAGGTAGGCCGCTTATAGAGTGAGCCAATCGAAAAATCTCGAAACACCGTTATTTGAAAAGAATTCATACCTTAGGCAATCAGAAATAAAAAAAAAACGGTGTAAAGTCTTGAGTTTAGCTATGTATGTTGGTTGAGGGAACTCTTGTTTATAATGATCCATGGAATAAGGTCGAGATCAAATGAACCTCCCCTGACGGACATGTTGACGTTACAAGGAACCCATATACCAAATATAGATATCCTGTTACTCATAATAAGTGAGTATTTCACTTTTGAAAAACCTGTAATTGTTTTCAAGCAGTCACTGTACCATGAAAATGAGGCCAAGGACAATGGACATATGACAGACGGAAACTTCGTGATATAAGGTATCTGCAAACAAGGAATGAGGCATCAAGGCCTTCTACCTTCTGAAATATAAAGCTTAGAACAAATAGTTTACACCGTCACCGTCACCGTCGCCTCCGCCGCCGGATTGTAACACCTTTGTCTTGCATTCTGAGACGAAACAAAAATCGTAATTCAAGAGCAATTACCCCAGACCTACAAGTATTCAACTGATGATTTTAGTCATGTGGACTCATTTTTAAAAATGGTCCTGCTGATCATTGTGTGTGTTACTGCACAGTTTTGTTCTATCTTCTATAGTATCAGCAAAGAAAACACAACTACTGTCAGTGTAAAAGTGTAACATTATTATGTTGACTTAAAAAGTAAGTCCATTTATCAATAAAATACAGAATTTAAAGAAAAATAATTCGAATTTTTTCTTTAGATGCAATTTCTTTTTCTTGATGATTAGCTTCTGTCCAAGATTCATAACACTCCATGAGGGTTTACACATCTATCATGTCAAAAAATGCCAGACTGTCTGTAAGTGTTAATTGTAAAAAAAAAAAAACGAAGTCCGTTTTTCAGTAAAATACATGAAATGTAAATAAATGTTTTAACAATTTTTGCTCTGGATACTGTCTTTAGGTCATAAACAGGCTTCTGTCCAAGTTTCATAAAAAGGTTTGACAAAGTTGTTGATATCTAAAAATAAACCACAGACGATGAAGGAATCTAGGATCTCTATGTTTAAATGTCGCAGGCGAGACAAAAATGTTAATGTGGAGTGGAAACAGGACAGAGGGGTAGCGAGACAACCGTATTAGAGAATGGTAAATAGAAGCGCAACGAAGGAGTGAGAAAAGAAAGGGATGAGTTTTGATTAGATAGCACATTAAAGGGTTATTAGCTGTCAAAACAATGCATGGACTCCGTACAATGTATCAGCAATTCGTGCGTATTTTAGACTACACCCTATCTAATTAACCACCAAGATTACCTCTTTCGACCCCATGCAACAACACACAGCAATGGATAAGCAATGCAAATTATGTCGACATAAGTGGTCTTTTGGAAATAACGCTTAAGTATGAGTGCCTAAATTATTGTTTTTAAGACTTTAAATGACGTTCAATTTGAAAAATTGCAAATTACCTTGAAGAAATAATACCTTTAACGAAATGGCGACCAGGAAGCTTAACACCTTTTGTGAACTATTGAATATAATAAGATAGGGTCGATATAAGTTATGTTTAAATATAAACATTACTTTAAACAAGTATTAGCTTTTAAAAAATCTTCCATACAGTTTTCAGAATCTATAATTACACAATATCGTCATAACAAGAACCGTTTTTCTTCATTCTCTTGTCTTTGAAACCAGGCATTAGGAACAAGGAAAAGGTCTCCTCGTTGTCGTTTTCTTGTTTGCTGGTTAAGTTGAATGTGTGTGGTCTTGTTCTGTTTAAATTACTTAGTACTCCAGTTATACAACTTTCAGTTAGATTTCGTGTGTTTATTGCATTATGTTGTATGAATAGCATTCGAAAAAAATTAATTATGATCTTGTTGTTTTGCATTGCTACTGAAAGAGTTAACAGCAACCTTAAATAAACCACGGGAAATATTTTTTTACTTGTATTATTCATTAGAGATCCATCCTTGCTGATCATCACATTTATTACCACCGAGTTATTTTAGTTTGATTATTTTATGTAAGTTCCTTAATAATTTAAAAAAATTTGTGTTGATGTATATAATCATTGCTTTACTGAACCGTTACTTGGAAATAATGTGTGTTTTCTATTTAACTTAGACATGTGATAGGCAATTATTTTTTGCAACAAATACCGTAAATGCTCCCGCAGAATAAGCGCATCATGGGCATGTCAACATTTGCCCCTATCATTACTTCTCGGCCATTCCCTCAATCATTGCAATGGATGATATATAGAATTTATAGAGAGGATTGACGAAATGCGACTCGGCTGTCGGGAAGGACATTCAAAAATAAATGTCTTTACAGACTTATAACCATGTGAAATAATGAAAGGGAATAAACCATAGTATGCATGCTATTTCAGAATAATAAAAACAAAATCGTCTTTCTCGTATACAGAAATGAGATTTTTGCTTATCAAACCATAATTATGCCAGTGTTTTGTTGAATTTTGAATTTTGAATAGAAGGTACTTAATTACATATGTTAATCCTTGTTGAAGTACGTTTCGTGCATGTTCTTCAACGTTTTAGGTTATGTGGTCATCGAGTTAGAGTTTGAGATAAAGCTTGATGTAGAGTTCTAGTTATAGTTCTTGTTTAAGTAAGATCCGTGCCTGTTCTTCAATGTTAAATTTTATGCGGTCATCGAGTTAGAGTGTGAGATAAAGTTCGATTTAGAGTTCGAGTTATAGTTTGAGTTTGAGTAAAAGTTAGAGTCAAAGTGAGATATACAGTTGTGTTTGAAGTTACACTCGACTTACATTTCGAGTTCGAGTTGCAGGTCGAGCTTTTTTAATCTCGAATCTAGAATGAAATAAAACTATAATACTGATTCATTTTGAGAGCAATGGATTTTCGAATAAGAAATCGAACTGGGTAAAACTCTAGTTGAATTTCATGTAAGAAATATGTTTTGAGGCACAAACGATGTTTTGTTGAAACATATTTTATTTACCTTTAGAAACGTACCCTTAGCAAAGTACCTCGTTATTGGCTCTCTTTTGTCATATCTTAAATTCCCTTAGTAAATGATGAACTTTGCAAGGTGCGGTAATATCTTTTTGTTAGCTCTGCTCGCAATACATCTAGTGTGTCATTGCGATGTTGTTTCAAAACGTTTTAATATATAAGTAATTAAACTTCAAAGTTAAAACATATGCAGGATATTTTGTTCTTTTTAGTTCATAAAGAACTATACTTTTTGTGAAATAAACAGAACAAAAACTCTTGGATATATTAAAGACTCCTTTGAATGTTTGTGGTCTATTGTGTGTAGGCATGCTTGCCTCGGGTGCAGGAGGTCGTAGGTTTTATCCCTGTGCGTGTAAAAAAAAAGACTTTAAAATAAGTATTAAATGCTAATCAGGTGGCATTTATGAGTAAGACCAAAGACTATCGACACGCAGTCAGAATAATATGTACAGATAGGGTGACATGTTTTCCTGCTGACTTTTATCTTTGTACTAATAAAAGCTACGTTTGTCGTGACAGCCTAGTACAAAGTAATGTGCAGGCTTCATATACTTTTCATTATTAATTAACTACACTGTTATTTGACTTAATATGATGAAAACTGCCTATGCAATATAAAGGTGTCAACTCGGCCAATACAGAATAACTCGGCCAATATAGATTTTTTTTCTGTATTGGCCGAGTTCTGATCCGGCCAACACAGGATTTCGGAACGTCTCTAGTTTTTAGATCGAAAGTCACGATAAACACAAACTGAAAGTAAACAGTTGTTTGGAAGACGCAGTTTTCATTTACTCACCATAAACATGCTGAAACGTTCAGTATGGCATATATTTCAGGCTTAAGACGGTCACATTCATTTAAAAAGCATTTTGAAAGCAGACGATGGAATTATTTCAGGTTTGGGAAACGAGTAGATTATCACAAAGTTCATTTCTTGTCGACCTCATAATTAATTAATTTCACGATGCTACAAATCGATTTACTGTTTACTTTCGCTTCTCATGTTTTGTAAACTGTCATTTATTTTTAAACCTGAACCAGGCATATGCATTCTGGAAGGGTGACCTGTAATTGTGCAAATCTTCGTTCTTTGCTCAGTTGGCTTATGGATAGTTGTATCATTTTCAACTCCTACATTATTTTTTCAGTTTGTTTCTGCATAAATCATGCAATGGCAGTACCTTTCCAATTACTATTTATGTGTTGTGTCTAAATTTAAATTGTAACACTTTATAGTGACTGGAAAGGGTAGAAAAATTCATCAGATGAGAAAATGCTGAAGACACCTGGAAACGACACCAGATCATAAGATAGAGCATCTTATAAAAAGAAACTGAAATTTGGATAGTTCCACTTCAAGGTAAAAATGTTTATCTCTTGTGAAATGAAATAAAAAAAATATTGTAACACTGTAGTTAATTAATAAAGATACTATTACGTGTATTTCTGTATTGGCCTTGTTATTGGTCCTCGGCCAGCTGTATTGGCCTTCGGCTTCGCCTCAGGCCAATACAACAAGCCTCGGACCAATAACAAGGCCAATACAGAAATACTCACGTAATAATATCATATAAAACATGGTTTTGTCATTATATGAATGCTATATTTGCATTTTGGGCATTAAAGGCCAATTCGTCTATCCATCATAAGTTAAGTGTAACGTGTTCATCGAGGTTTCCCTAATTGTGCCTTTTTATTAAGAATCCATATTGTCAACTCTTAACATGGCAACATGTCGTTTGAATTTGCTCACAGACTAACTTACCTTTTAATCATTTGTTTTAACGCCCATTTTGGTCATTGCAAAATCTCTTGCATTGTAAATTACATGTGTAAATTTTTTAGTATTGGATCTTTATTTATACGGATGAGTATTTCGATGGGATCTTCCAATACATTGGGATTGTTAAACATGGATATTTGCCCCACTAGCAGATATTTTTGGTTTAACCTTTCACAGAGATACCTGTGATACATAATTAGTACTTCTGCATATTGTTTCATTCTATCATCAAAATGATAATGCGTGAGGCTTGCATCTAGGGATACTCAATTTACCAGTACGTCATAAAGTTTCCCAACAAAACGGATAGTAAATATATCAAAAGTCTCGGTAGAAAAATGGTTTATAGTTATATTAGTTAGTTATAATTCAATATTTTAAGTAAAGGCAATAGCGCCAAAATTGGTAAACTTTTACAACCATAATACGTAGAAAATTCAAAACAAACTGCAAACCCCATGTCTATATATAGTATATGACACGATGTTCTAGTCAAAGAACTGAATAGAATCTGTGGCGTATACTCATAATTAAAAAAGTAAACTTCTTGTTGATAAAACTGAGTAATTTACCGATAGAAAACACATTTTCTCGGTTTAATATGTGACCATAGGACATTTTACCCTGTCACATCATCACATTACCATTTTCGATGAACATCGAAATCTGTGTCAAATCCTTCTTTGGCATTCTTTTTGTTAAGTTCACATCGCAATGAACATGTGTATTATGTTTCAAGTTGATGTGACCACAACTTCATGGTAAAATACATTTAACAGCGAAATTTGGGTCAATAGTTCATATCATCACGAAAAATCATGTACGGGATATTGACTTTAAATTTAGATACATTGCATTTAAATAAGTAGAAAGTGGATCCAGGCAACTTGAGTTTTTGTATTTTTTAATCATTTTTGGTTGCGTGAATTATTTTCGACTTGGACCTCTACCATATTTTATAAAAGTACTTGACCCGCGATCGACGCTTATTGAAATACGAGCTCAAATTAAATAACTCCTTTTCTAACTCGACTCCAACTCAAAGCATTATTCGAACTCTTAACTCGATGGCTAGCCACACAACAAGGCATATGGTATTGCCGGTTATCTTGCTGAGATTTGTGGGTTTCCTTGGTTTCTATTTTCCCTTCTTTTTTTATCCAGTTTATTGTTTCATTGATGTTGCATTTCTGTGTAATTGTAATATTACCGTTTTAATTTTTTTGTATGTTTGCTTAAGTTTTTTTTAAGCAGAAAATACGTGTTCCCATGATAAGTATGTTAAATAACGTTTCCAGAAATATTATTAAAATATTGATTGAAAAAATTGTGGAATTAAAGAAGCCCTTGTCAGTGGTCAGAGAGTCAGCAATCCAACGATCGATTAATACCCAAAAGACATCTAGAGGGTAACATAACTCAAACACAGACAGGAGTCTAGACATTAGATAGATATAAATTCAAATTCAAATTCAGTTTTTTTATTTCCTAATCACAGGGCCCTTTCAGGCATTACAAAATTTAACACGATCATTCACACTTTCATACCAATCTTTCTCACTCCGCTCACTCTGATTATGTTAATTAGATACAGAACAGTAGAACATACAGTTCGTGAATAAAGAGAGATAACTCTGATTGTTATAATAAACATTTTCTTTTTAACTAGGTAGATGATCATTAAAATTGAGTACAGTTATGCTGTTTTCTTTCTGCAAAGTT